ATACTTTAATTACATTTAGTTTTCTGATAATATCTGCTCGTTTTTTTTCATTTCAAATTATAACGGCAACATCTAAATATTTCATTAACAATCTCAGCATATTGGGGGAGGGGGTACGGGGAGCTTATTAACTGAAGATTTGGAAATGATTGTAGAATTTTGTAGAATCGAAATATGTTTACTTCCCACTTCTGCTGAATTTTTGCAGAACAGACTAGTAATGATAATTATGCCTAATGAGCACTTGTATATATTGTATTTTCTTGCCTTACTGTGATGGAATTATAATTTTATACCTTTGCTTAAAATGTGCGGGAAATCGTGTATCATATATAGGCTCAAGAATAAAATATTTCTGGATGGTTCATGCCCTAAGACCTTCCTTGGACAGCCCCTCTTGTAATAATTTTAGGACTACACCAATGTATTGTTATTACTCCTTAAATTATATATCTATCGTATTTGAACATTATTTTTCAAAATCTTTGAAAGGATTTCAGGACAGTGACAGGCAACAGCTTTCAAAGCATATTCCAGCGCTTGCTCTTTGCTTGCTGTTGACTATCTTGTCCTCCCCGCGTAGACTATTGTCAGTTAGTATTCCAATATTCAGTTTAACGCCATTCAGTACTTTTCCATTTCTGAAGAAAGGGAAATAAATAGTTGTGATTGAAACGTAGGCGTTCCAAAAATATACATGCATTCCCTCTTTTTTTACCTAAAACTTGTTTTCGTGGTTACAGGTCGGTAAAAATTGATCGCTTTTTTTTTCATAAAACACAAACACTTGCATGCTTAGGATTCACCAATTATGTTATAATGAAATCTTGATTTTAATTTCCAACGTTCGGTATCGTTGAGTAGTTTTTTGTGAGTGGAATTAGATTTAATAGACCTTATGCATAATGACGTCACAAGGCTTGACGCCCGCGAGGAATGCTGGTCTTAGTAGTCATCGCCCGGGAAAATTAAACATTAAAAATGGCCACTATCTAAATTTTCCCGCGCGATGACTACTAAGACCAGCATTCCTCGCGGGCATCAAGTCTTGTGACGTCATTATGCATAAGGTCTATTAGATTATGAGTTCGTTCTTTAAATGTGCTTGGCCTTGTATACTAGGCCCTTTGTCATACATTGTTCCTAAAATGGGCATATATTTTTATTCCTACAGTTGCAACTGTTTGTGTCCTTGCTTCTATGTTTTTCCTAATAGACCTTTGCGATAATTACGTCATAACTACCGGGTGTCCCAAAAAAAACTTGCGGTGTTTGATTTTATGTAAGGTAAAAACTATAAAAGCTATTACACTCAAATAAGTTTTATTGTATTGAGGAAAGGCTAGCTTAGATTTTGATATACAGCCCTAAAAATTTCATGTAATAGTACGTGAGATACAAACGTTTGAATGTGGCGCACGCTTTAAAAATGAGTAAAAAAATCGAGAAACATGGCTGATCAAATTTATATGAAAACAAATTGCCATTTTCCACAAAAATTAACAATTTCAGCATTTCAGCTCAACTTTAATTTCGGGTAATGTCCTAGTATAAGTTAACCTTTCGTGTTTCTTGGGAAGCGAAATAAGCATGAAACATTTAAAAACGTTCGAAAGCATATTTGACGTCCTTTGAGAGTTCTTATTATAAAGTTGCCACTCGTTCGCCTTTCGAATATGCTTCGATTAACAAAAGATCAAAGAGTTTGGCTTTTATGTTTTCCCGTGCAAGACATTGTATACGTGCAAGGGGACATACTTTCTATGATAAATGAATAAATGTTTATCCAACAATTATGTTTTTCATTCGTTCTTTTGGCCACAATAAAACTATATAATCAAGTTTAACCAAATAATATTTGATTGGCAATTTTATGCAAATTTCTAACATTGTCAAATATGCTTATTCGATTTAAAACATCGATAGCTCAGTAAATATTGCACGGATATTCAAATGTTATATTTCAAAATCTAAGTTAGCCCTTTCTGAATGCAATAAAACTTATTTGAGTGCAACAACTTTTATAGTTTTTATGTTACATTAAATCAAACAGCGCGAGTTTTTTTTGGGACACCCGGTACACAGTTTTCAAGGTAGGACCACCTTAAATGGAAAGGATTTCAAGTTTTTTTCTTATGGGCTATGCATAGAGAAGCAGAACATCTTTCTTCGGCACAAGCATGACGAATAAATTGTGATGAATAAATATGGAAAAAAGCATTAACACGAAAACGATGCTCCAGGTCATGACCTGGAGCCTCGTTTTCGTGTTGAAGCTTATTTCCACATCTATTGATCAAAATCCAATTTTTTTCCATGCATGTGTTGAAAAAGAATGTTCTGCTTCTCTGTGCATAGCCAATGAGAAATAACTTGAAATCCTTTCCATTTAAGGCAGTCCTAAGTTTGAAAACAGTGTAGTTTGGCGTAATTATCGAAAGGGTGTATTATATTTTTCCTAATTATTCAATACACCAAGAAGTTTGAAGGTGTTTACTCTTTCTATTTCATTTCCGTCTGTTTGTATGGGTGGAGGTTCGGGAGAAGATTGGGAAAACTGATCTACTGCATATCCTTTGTTTTCTTTGGATTTACCGCCATTTTATCATCATTGGCTAGATAGCATAAACATCTCATCCAATAGCGTACTATTTATTAACTGCATGTACACGAAGATATATGTAGTAGAATTATATACTACAGAAATTATAGATATATAATCAGTAAAGTAATTGTAATCACAAGCTAATAAAATGTGATCGAAATATATTACGAGTATTTACTGTATATACTGCAGAAATTATAGATATATAATCAGTAAAGTAATTATAATCACAAGCTAATAAAATATGATCGAAATATATTACGAGTATTTACTGTATATACTACAGAAATTATAGTTATATAATCAGTAAAGTAATTATAATCACAAGCTAATAAAATGTGATCGAAATATATTAAGAGTATTTACTGTTGCGTCTTAGCCTTTGTGTTGGAATTATAATTGTAAGCAAATTCTGAAAGCAGCGAACGTTTCTTGCTCAATACACAAGTTACACTTGAAACTAAATCATAAGAAGAGATATTACATACTTACCAACGTTATAATGATGTTAAATCAACACAGTTAGTCCCAAAGGCCCAAGATTTCGGTATCAAATATATAGACAGATTACTGAACAATTGCTAAATTCAAAAAAGATAATAATTAAATTTATGCAAGAATTTTAATTTTTAATAATGATTTCCCTAAACAATTGCTAACAGTGGGTAGCATGCACACATATATTGCCTACTTAAACACAAAAATGGCAAATAAAGTTATAGATAATATATATACTAAAACTGTCTGTACCAGTGTAGGTAGTACCAATGTGAAAATGCTGTGCTGAGTGGTTATATTATTACCTTATAAAATAAGCAGAAACTCGACGTTTCGAGCGAAGGCCCTTCGTCATGAGTTAGTAGCAGGGATCGGGGAAAATGCACGGGCTTTTATACTAAGAGTATGAAAGCATCACGTGACAAAAAAATAAACCAATTAGATGGATTTAATAATAACAAAGTGTAAACAAAATATGTAAATCGCATTACAGAATATAATATAATTAAAAATATAAAATAAACAGGAAGTTAAGACAATTACTACCAAAAATAATCAGAACAAAACACGAGTGGGAATAAGGTAAAAGTAAAAGTAAACAATAGAAGTTGTCAATGTCTGCTTTAGGCAGGCAAAGACAGATGGCATCATAGACAAAACAGAAGAAATGTCTTCTGGATTGGCTATGATGGCATAAACATAAGAAAAGCGTTCATTAATGCCAGAAGGGTGAACAGTGCCAAGTTTGGAGATGAGGCGCATTTCATGTCGTTTGCGGCTATCGTTGCTTCCAGAAATGGGACAGAGGGCTCGAATTAACATATCTGAAACACTGTGATTGCCATCATTAAAATGTCTGCCAGGTTGTTTAGCATCATTGCCAATAACTGCACGCCGATGCTCACCAAACCTTGTCCTTAAACATCTTCCAGTTTTCCCAATGTAAAGCATGCCACATCTGCTGCAAGAGATGCAGTAGATGAGATGGGAGGAGGCGCACGTGAAATGGTGCTTGATGTGAAATTCAGATTTAGGTGCCGAAACCATAGTGGTGGAATCTATAAAATCACAGGTTTTATATTTCGACGACAGGCAAGGAAAAGTGCCTTTCTGTGACGTCGAAGCCTGTGTTAGGGAGCTATGGACAAGGGTTTCACGGATATTTTTGCTGTGTCGAAAACGAGTGGGAATAAGGTAAAAGTAAATAATAGAAGTTGTCAATATCTGCTATAGACAGGCAAAGACAGATGGCATCATAGACAAAACAGAAGAAATGTCTTCTGGATTGGCTATGATGGCATTAAACATAAGAAAAGCGTTCATTAATGCCAGATGGGTGAACAGTGCCAAGTTTGGATATGAGGCGCATTTCACGTCGTTTGCGGCTATCGTTGCTTCCAGAAATGGGACAGAGAGCTCGAATTTACATATCTGAAACACTGTGATTGCCATCATTAAAATGTCTGCCAACAGGTTGGTTAGCATCATTGCCAATAACTGTACGCCGATGCTCACCAAACCTTGTCCTTAAACATCTTCCAGTTTCCCCAATGCAAAGCATGCCACATCTGCTGCAAGAGATGCAGTAGATGAGATGGGAGGAGGCGCACGTGAAATGGTGCTTGATGTGAAATTCAGATTTAGGTGCTTGTGGTTGTCCCACCGAACTCATCTCCAGTTTTCTCGATCGTGTCATGGCACCCTTGGTTAAGGACTTACCATCCTATATCAAGGATACCAAGCATGCTCTTCAAATTCTCCAGAACATCATTTTCATGGCACTCACAAATTCATTTTCACCATGGACGTCAAATCCTTATACACTGTAATTCCGCATCATGATGGTTTGAGGCCCCTCAAATTCTTTCTAGATAAACGCCCTAACCAGGAACCAGCCACGTCTGTTTTGGTCCGATTGGCTGGGTTGGTGCTTACCCTCAACAATTTTTCCTTTGATGGTGAGCATTACCAACAGATAAATGGTGTAGCTATGGGAACTAAAATGGGACCCAACTATGCTAATTTGTTTGTTGGTTTTGTGGAAAAACAAATCTTCGAACAGTACACCGATCCCATCCCTGATTACCTTGGTAGGTACATAGATGACTGTCTTGGCACAGCATCATGTTCTCGTGTCGAATTGGAACGCTTTATTAACTTTGTTAATAATTTTCATCCAGCACTCCAGTTCACATGGGAGATCAGTGAGACCAGTGTATCATTCTTAGATATCCTTGTATCAATCAATGGTAACAAATTATCTACTTCTGTGTTCTACGAGCCCACTGACTCCCATAGCTATCTTCTATTTTCCTCTTCCCACCCCAACCACACCAAAAGGTCGATTCCCTTTTCTCAGTTCCTTCGTCTTCGCCGCATCTGCAGTGAAGACGAAGATTTTCAGGCCAAAAGTCTGGAGATGAGACACTTTTTTGTCCAGCGTGGTTATCCTATACCTCTCTATTAGACACTGCCTTTTCGAAGGCCTCCCAAATTCCCCGTTCTGACACCCTCACAGGCCCTGTGTCTAATGTCACAGGCAACAACAAAATCCCCCCTAGTATTAAACTATCATCCTTTCAATTTCAAAGTTAGAGATGTCATCAACAAGAATTTCCATATTTTGAAAAACGACCCTGAAACATCTTCCATTTTCTCCAATAACCCCTTAGTCTCTTTTCGACACAGCAAAAATATCCGTGAAACCCTTGTCCATAGCTCCCTAACACAGGTTTCGACGTCACAGAAAGGCACTTTTCCTTGCCTGTCGTCGAAATGTAAAACCTGTGATTTTATAGATTCCACCACTATTGTTTCGGCACCTAAATCTGAATTTCACATCAAGCACCATTTCACGTGCGCCTCCTCCCATCTCATCTACTGCATCTCTTGCAGCAGATGTGGCATGCTTTACATTGGGGAAACTGGAAGATGTTTAAGGACAAGGTTTGGTGAGCATCGGCGTGCAGTTATTGGCAAAGATGCTAACCAACCTGTTGGCAGACATTTTAATGATGGCAATCACAGTGTTTCAGATATGTAAATTCGAGCTCTCTGTCCCATTTCTGGAAGCAACGATAGCCGCAAACGACGTGAAATGCGCCTCATATCCAAACTTGGCACTGTTCACCCATCTGGCATTAATGAACGCTTTTATGTTTAATGCCATCATAGCCAATCCAGAAGACATTTCTTCTGTTTTGTCTATGATGCCATCTGTCTTTGCCTGTCTATAGCAGACATTGACAACTTCTATTGTTTACTTTTACTTTTACCTTATTCCCACTCGTGTTTTGTTTCGATTATTTTTGGTAGTACTTGTCTTAACTTCCTGTTTATTTTATATTTTTAATTATATTATATTCTGTAATGCGATTTACATATTTTGTTTACACTTTGTTATTATTAAATCCATCTAATTGGTTTATTTTTTTGTCACGTGATGCTTTCATACTCTTAGTATAAAAGCCCGTGCATTTTCCCCGATCCCTGCTACTAACTCTTGACGAAGGACCTTCGCTCGAAACGTCGAGTTTCTGCTTATTTCTTAAGGTGGCTGGCTACAGTTTATAGAAATGTTGAAAATGCGTAAACTAGATCACCTTTTTGAAGAGATGATGCTCTTTACAAATCGAAATTTGTATATTATATTTACAGCGACAATCAAACAGTCGAAAATTGGTCAGAAAAGTGACGTCACCACTGTTGCTATGGCAACAATGACGATTCAAGATGGCCGATATTTTGGCTTTGAACACATTTTACTTTAAAAAAGGTCGGTTACCCCAATTTTTTATTTCAGAAAACATTTTCTTATAGTGCAATGCACTATCTGACCAATTTAAAAAAAATTCTGTAATGCAAAAAAAAAATTATTTCGAAAAACCATGTTTATAATTTTTTTTAAAATTTGGCATTACAGAATTTTTTTAAAATTGGTCAGATAGTGTATTGTACTATAAGAAAATGTTTTCTGAAATAAAAAATGTGGGTAACTGACCTTTTTTTAAAGTAAAATGCGTTCAAAGCCAAAATATCGGCCATCTTGAATCGTCATTGTTGCCATAGCAACAGTGGTGACGTCACTTTTCTGACCAACTTTCGACTGTTTGATTCTCGCTGTATATATAATACACAAATTTCGATTTGTAAAGAGCATCATCTCTTCAAAAAGGTGATCTAGTTTACGCATTTTCAACATTTCTTTAAACTGTAGCGAGCCACCTTAAGGTAGTAATATAACCACTCAGCACAGCATAGATAATGTAACATTTCATGAATACAAAGTTGTGTATTAAAGTGCGAACAAGCTTTCGTTGGTAGGGATGCAGCTACCTGAAAAATATAAGGAGAATTTCGACGTTTCGAGCTAAGGCCCTTCGTCTGCAGTTCCTTTGGTTGCACACAAAGATACATGAAGTAGAATGGTATACAGAGAGCACAGAATTAATGTTATAATTAATGACGATAAATATGAACAATCTTGATGACCACGATTGGTTATATGAATACCAAACCTACACGTAACGCCAACAGAACAGAATCAGCCAAATATATATGCAAGAATCTTAATAATGAGTTCGCTAAAGAATTCCTATATAACAGCGGGTATAGCATGCAAATATATATATAGTTATAGATAATATAACATTTCATGAATATAAAGATGTATATAAAAGTATATTGAATGTCACATGCTTTAATTTGTTAAAACCAGTTTCCACTGATGACAAGTTATAAGTGCATGGGGGCGCGGGAAGAGATGGTCAGCGGTGATGAGTGACTACGCTAATAAAACATATAAAATTCATATGTCTTCTGACTGGCCAACAGCTAAGAGTTAAATACGGAAAATAAAGTCATTCCAAGTTATAACCACAAATATTTGGGCCATATTATTCGGTTGACGAGAATCTTGTTGAATTACACCTCAATGCATGCATGATAAGAATGACACTTGTTTAGCAACACGACTAGGAACTAAAAATACTTTATCGATACCTCAGTTAGAACCAAGTACGGGAAATTTAATCTTAGATTTATTGGTCGACGAACTACTGAAGCAACAGTAGATTGTTAAAAACGAAACATAATGAATGAATTTGAGGATTAATGGCTGTGGGAGTGATGCGACATGTGACTAATTGTAGTGTATTTCGTGCGTGTCACTTTTATAATTTGCCATTTAAATCTTTTGCCATGCATCTAAATCTTTTTCGAGTCTCTGTTTTGATTTGTATTGTGTCTGTTTTTATATTTAATTTTTCTGTGTGTTTGTGCTTCATAATTTAAAAAATTTTGTTGTGTAAATTTTTTTAAATTCCCCAATTGTTCGTAATGTATCATTTTAACTTTTAGTGGCCGCTTGTCTCGATTAGCCCCTATGGTTATTACAGGCGACCAGCAGTACACCTATATTTTATATACCCTAATATAATTATTTATGTATTTGTAATCTAATAGTGCTCAATAAATTTCTTTTTCTTCTGTTTTTTTTTCAATGGGGCTTCAATTTATGACAATATCAACGTTAGCATTGTAAGCTTTATAATATTAATAGTTTGAAAGTCAATAACAGTGCATTACCTATATAAATTATGGCATTGATATATTTTTGACGAAATTTACACTCAACTGTTTCCATAAAAATTTCTGGTGTTCTTTCGTTTATAGTTTCCTTGTAGGTTAACACACAAATTCAGTGATTAAATAATTGATAAATTGAATAATTATATGAATAAATTGTTCCTTTGCTTCTGTTTTCTTTACGTGGATGTTTGACTGATACAACAATATTTTATATCTTTTTATATATTTAAGTTTAGTTTGAATCCGTATATTGTTTGCCTTAGTAAGTTGGCTCACAAGAAAAAACGTACAAACAAACAACTCAATTCAAAAGAATTAACTATAAGCACATTTATCGCAATATAACCAAGATGAATGACAAAGACTTTTTATTAACTTGTTTTGCATATATTTGTGGCTGTTCAGTCAATTATTGAATTAGACTACTTACAAAGTTATAGTATCATCCAAGACTAGCTATAAAGTCATAGATAACATATACTGTATTATTGAATCCTCGAACAACAGTCGCTAAATTATTTGTTCATTTTGGCCACACCGTAGGTATTTAATTAAGAAAGATCACTTAACATTTATTCCCCAAAAAGTAAAGGCTAAAGCCTTTCCTTTATTGTAATACAGCTTTAGTCACTATTCTGATTTTAACCTAAACCCAAGGAATATGGATTTTTGTGAGCCTTTGTCAAAATTTTACCTGTAGAAATCGGATAATCTGATAGTTGGAAGTCCGGGGGGATTACTAAAAAGAGACCTATATAGGAATCAGCCTTTCAACATATAACCTAGTGTGGGAAATATGGTTTTAAAGAAAAAATGACCTCTGGGAATGAACACTAAGCCATATTCATGTTGATCACCTATACGTAACATATTGGGGGGTTCGAATATTAATTAAATGGAACGACCCAATGTAGCGATGCTGAGACCTGTTTAGATGTTTGTAGGGTAGGCGGTCGTTAGTGTCTTATAGTGCAGTTTTAATGCTTGTTTTCACAAGAATATAATCTTTTCGGGCAATAGTTATACAGACACTGGTGAAAGTATACAGTATGCTGAAAACCCTATACGCCGAAAGTATTCGTAATTACATCGTTCATCTATTTTTTACAAAATTTCCATTTCATTTTTCTAAAGACATTAAATCTTGGTCGTTTTTAACATAAGTGTCTCCCTCGAATCGAGTGTACATCTGCCTTGACGATATGGATATTGCTCATTCCTTTAATGTCCTAAAATATAAAAGTTGAATTATTCTTAATGGCGTTTTGTGGCACACCAAAAAGGCAGGAAAGTTCCACTGAGCTCCATATATACCTGGAGCGAAAACTCAAGTCCAAAAAGTGAAGCCAAGATGGCGGAAATTGAAGAGGAATGTTGAAGAGCAATTGATTGGGCGCATTGAACTATAAATAAACTGGAAGGCTAACTGCTATGATGAAGGCCTATGATTTGATGAAGCCAAAATAGTTTTTCTGAGTTATGAACAGAAATACTTGACCCCAAACGTCGGGCTATATATCAAATTGAAGCTATTGAAAATTGCTATTTGGTGTGGAAATTTCAAGACTTCAGCGAAAAGAAAAATATTTAAAAAATACAAAAACAACTGCAAAACGGCAAACTATCGGTAATTATGTTTGTAGTTTTTCAATATTTCCCTTTTAGCTAAAGTCTTGAAATTTCTACACCAAATAGCGTTTTTCAATAGCTTCAATTTGATATATAGCCCAACGTTCAATGTTGAGTATTTCTGCTCATAACTCAGAAAAACTAAAATGCACTGGCTTCAATTCCCTCCCCCCTGAGTTAGCCTTCCAGTTTATTTATAGTTCAATGATTGGGCGTCAGTTCCAGTCCCTTTCTATTGTTTTTGTCTGCGCGGTCTGGCAAGGAGTGTACCGAAGTATTGTATTTTAACCTCGATTTAAAGAAAACAGTATGGTTTTATGAAATGATAATTTCAGTTAACGATACGGTCCGTTAGCTAGAAAAGAACTGGATTTAGCTGTTTATTATACGACCTTCGAAGATATTGGAAGTCAATTTCCGCCATCTTCGCTTCACTTTTCACATAGACCGAATGACTGAAGTTCTTACTCCAGATAAACATATAGAGGTCACTGAATAAACCTAAAAAGATCCTATTAATGTCGCAATAGAAGATGTGGTTGGTTTTCATTTAAATTAATCACAACAAAAATATTTTGAAGACTCCATGTTAACATATAGTTTTGCCTCACTGAGGTAGGATAGATGCAGTCATATCAATACAGCATGTAGCCAAAGGGAGGGAGGCTCTGCCCCCCCCCCCCCCCCCCTAATGAAATTAAAACCGAAATTGGTGGAGGGACGATGCGTGAATATTGATACCCATTTAGTCTTCCCTATCCAGAATCCTAACTCAAGTAAAAAATGCCTATATGGTTACTGAAAGCACATTTGAACTTGAATTTGCGCGCATAGCAGCAGACATGACCGACTTCAAAGTTCAACTGATATGGCGGCCAAGTGAGCTTCAGTGCTTCACGGCTTTTATTACAAAAACGAAGACATCTTCAGCTATTTTGCTTTTGTATTTTCGTGTACAGTAGAACGTTTTACAAAACTTTTTTCGATCTAACAACATTAGGCGACTTAGAAATGGATTTTTGTGTTTGTAACTTTTCTTCAAACTTCGTCCTAAAATACGTGAAATAGCGTTCTAATGGTGGAGAGCATGGCCCCGGACTCCTCTAGATTCCCCGCGCCTTTGGCACTCGCATTCGAAATGCCATACAATTTCCCCCCCCCCCCCCAAGTTTAGACCCTCGCTGCGCAACTGGAACACAGAAGTAATTCACCCCACTCAGACGAACTTGAAAAAGATGGTGCGGTTTATCCGAAGGTAGCATTCCGGCTATATTCATTTCAACGTTTAGGGATTTTTTCAAAATTCATCCATGGGGACGGAGGACATCTACAAAAAGAGGCCATACTATCAGCAATTAATAGCGTTCAGAGCTCTGGGTGAGCTAGGCGCGCGGGGATTCCCCTGAGCTCTGAATGCTATTAATTGCTAAAGAGCCTGGGCACGAGGCTGCCATACTATCCTGAGTGTGGAGAGATGACAGATTATTGTTGGTGACAAAACGTTTGGTGTGGTATCGATTGTGGTCTCCCCCCAGAAAAGTGTTGTATTTTTCCTCCTCTGAGACTGCGCTTTTTTTTACAGCGTTACCTTATACTGTAGATAAACCAAATCTTCAGTTAAGTACTTGCATGGTATGTTTATGTAAATACCACAACTCGATCACTGACTTGTTTAGCCTAGCCTTCCAACAGCTCAAATCTATAGCGTCTGGGATATGCTGTCCATGCATTGGAAAATGTTTAAAATCTAAGGTATTTACAATACAATGTTTAACATTATTAAAGAGATCGTATCATTTGAAGATAAAAGACGACATAAGATTCACAAAACAAATTTTAGTTACTTGAATATCGAACTTAACCTCGCTCTCTAAATTCATTTTTCTTCCAATGTTTTGCTTATATTTTAGAGAAAAGCAACTTTGATTGTGGTGGCGAAAATGATTGAGTGGTCGGCAAGGCGCCGAAGCAGGCCCTAAATCGCACATATACTTACAACAACATATCTTCCATATATTTCTTCATCACTGTTCGAATGAAACATTTCTCGTGCATAACTTAACTTTCGTTCAGGATCACTGAAGTCCGAGAAATCATGAACAAACCAATTCTCACTCAGTCGAATTGTCTTGACGCTCAATTCTGACTTAGGCAGGATTTCTTGAAACCTTTCTGAGAAAGTTGAGTAGCGACTGGACTTGAAAGGAGTCGATTTACGAGAACTGTCCAATCGCCATTTTTTGAGCAGAAAGTTTTTCGTTTTTGCATGCCAATATTCGCAACAGGATAGATCAAACATGTGGCGGCGTGAATGTGATTTTGTTGTGTGACACTGCTTGGAAAGCCGCGCACGCGAGATGTAGATAATTGTGACATCACAATTAAGGTGATTCATCAATTTTGCATTGCGCACTTTTGCTGCGCACTTTTACTGCGCATATCTAATAGCAAATTCTAGCTAATATATGTAGTCAAACTGCAATGTAAAGTGATACAGAAAGAATAAGGGCATAGAAAACAACCCCTTGCATTGATTAGACGTGCTTCAGGAAATTCTCATTTCCAGAAAAATCACCTTAAGGGGTTAATTAACAAGGCTGGCGGTTTGGCCAGTGCATATATGCCTTTTACCTCTCTAACCGAGGATTCCTAAAATTATATGAAGTCGTCTGATTATTTTAACAGCTGCGGATTGAGAGAATACAACAATATGAAAATAAAAGGAGAACTTCCAGGCAAAACTTCGACGTTTCGAGCCCTTCCTAGGGAAGTTAGTAGGGGGCTAATTTCCCGACGAAGGGCCTTAGCCCTAAACGTCGAAGTTTTGCTTGTATTTTCCAGGTAGTTGTATCTTTCTCAATCTGTAGCTGTCTTGTCATCGTCGCTACCTATACTGGCGAAGTCCGTCTGATTATATTGCCTGAACTGGTGCTCCTGTTTCCGCTTCTGTAGAAACACTGGAATAGTTGGGGATGGCTCTTCTAGGAAGAAAAGTTTAGAACCGATAGAGCTATCCAGTATATAAAGTTAGTCGAGTTCCGCTAGTAAATTTTACAAGCCACGATTTCAGGAAAAAATACTGAAACGTTTAAACTTACGGATCTTTTTGCAAAAGCGAAATTTTCTGCAGTTAAATGCTCATCGGCCATAACCACATATAGGCCGTTTGCTGCGTCCCGATCTCGATCACCTTCATTTCCCATGTCTTGGAACTGAAATATTTTTACCGGAACTAACACTTTCGAACACGCTGAGTTCAAATCCGAAAAGTTCCCGCTCCGTAGACATGCAGTTTTCCCACAAACTGCAATTTTATCTTAACTAATTTCACGACAACTTTTTTCATTGTTCAACGTCACGGATCGATGTCGACAAACGATTATGTCACTCAAAATACCAATTTCAAACAATTTTTATTAACCAGTCTTCCTTTTAAAAAAGACCGGTTTTGCTCGAATCATTTTGAGTTATGTAATATTATGCGTGTTGAACGTAAACAACATATATTGTCAACATCTTTGAGAAGGTACAGATAAAGCTTTCTAGAATCCTCAGTTCTGGCTCTATCTCAATAAAATCACAAGGATGTTAATGTTAAGTATTTTGGCTATGTCTCTGAGCTGAGAAATAACTCTTTTAACGCGATCAAGGAATTTAAAAGAAAAGTAACGCGAAGCCAACGGAATGGCAAAGACAACACTAAAACGAAATATTGGCGATGGGTTGCTGGTAGAAGACATACGACAGGATCACTCTTAAATAATCTTAAGCTAGAAGAATTATAATGTTCACATCAAAGACAAATATCAGTGCCAAAGTATAAAATCTGTTCTGTAAACTTACGACGAAGTACAGAAATGTATGGATAAGCTATTTATTTGGTGATTACAACGTATATGAAAGCCCTCTTTCCAATAATACTCGCTAATCGCACGGAATAACACCAACTGATATAATAGTTCAAATGCAAGAATGATAAGTTACCTCTTTCATTACATTCATTTTGAAATCAATGATGTTTCCTGCAATCTGCATGATTGGTTCACAGGAGTGCGATTTCAGCCCGAATCGCACTCCTAGCAGTGCGATTTCAGCATGAATCGCACACTTTGTAATGTAACCAATCAGATTCGAGAACTGAGCAAAAACAACCAATCAGCTTTTAGTAATAATAACACAAAATTTCATATAAACAATATTTAATTAAAAAAAAAAGAAATGGCAATTTTTCCAAAAGCCGTAGGCTTATCTTGGGAAAGCTTGCCTAACATTAATAAATACGTAGTTTGCATTGAAATTAATAAATATAGAGTGGCAACGAAACGCATGAGAATAAGAATAAAATATATCTTGACACACACATAGCCATGCACCTGCAGAATTAACAACGCCTTCTATCTTACAAGATGAACATTACCACAAGGCATGGCTGAAAAGTGTTCTTGATTTTAACAAAAGCGTTTAGTATTCACAATAAAGTTCTGAACGATTAGGAAAAGATTAGCATTTGTATGTTGCGAAACGTCGGGACGACCGTTCAAAAACCATGATAAACTGAACGCATTTTTCTTGTTGAATTTAACCATTTGGAACCAAGTAAATGTGCAGCGGAAGCAAAAAGAACAGCGCGATAAGCAGCATATCGGCCACAGTCAAAGAAGAAATGACTGAAAGTCTCACTGGTTGAACCACAAGAACATAATGGCGATGACACGCAATTTATTAAGAACAAATAATGATTTAAGGTACAATGAAACAGGCGAAAAGGGTATGAAGTATGGAGGCGTAGCGATTACCAATGTAGAACAATGTATTTGGAATTGGATCGTCACGCCAAATTTTGAGATTGGTTTTAAAATGAGGTAAGGATTCAGAAGTTCGAACATTTAATGGCAAGCTATTCCACAGTTTAATTGAAGAAATGGCAAAAGATTTTTGAAGACGTTCTGTCCTAGCAAATGGAACACAAATGTCATCATGAGTCTGTTGCGTATATAAGCTGATTTCGTGCGTATGTGTTCAGGACGCAATTCAAGTAGCTAAGTATGGTGGTGCTAAATTATTCAAAATTTTGAACATCATAAAAAGCTTATGATCAGAGCGTCTGGATCCGAGCCTAACCCAAGCTGTTTCCTTAAGTAGACTTTCACGACTCGTTCCTTTTATAGCACCCGTAACTAATCGAGCCGCATCGATCTGCAATTTTTCAAGAAGATCACTATCGGTTTCTGTACAACCATCCCAAATAATATCGGCGTAATCTAAACACGATCGAACTAATGATTTATACAAAATGTGAAGGGTTTTTCTTTTTAGAATGAACTTTAAAGGATTTAAGCATATTTAGTTTTTTAGAAGCCTTTTGATGAATTTTCAAGATATGAGGGCGCCACGAAATATTAAACGCAAGTGTAACACCTAAATGCTCATGAGAAGTGACATCCCTAATTATTGTATTAGTCATATAAAGTGGCGGATGAAATGGTTTGTCCTTTTACATGTGAAAATCATGGTTTCTATTTTTTCGGGGTTCATGGTGACAAGCCATTGGTTTGACCAAGCCGAAATTGTAGAGAGGTCATTATTTAATTTGTTAGCCGAATCGACCGGCGAAATTACTTCCTCCATTAATAATAATAATGAGTCATCAGCAAATAGAAAACAGACAGATGAAATTTTAGTTGCAATATCATTGATATATATTAGAAACAAAAGAGGGCCAAGTACAGATCCCTGTGGAACCCCAGCTTTAACATTTTTCCATTCAGAACTACTTCCTTCGATTATAACACGTTGCTGCCATCCAGTTAAATAACTTTCAAACCAGAGTAACAATGAGCCGTTTATTCCAATACTCCTTAATTAGCAATTAGGCCTTTGTGCCAGACTCTATCAAATGTCTTGAAAATATCAAGAAAGGCAGCTCCTACTTCGTTACCCCTCTCTAAAGCATTATAAATCTTGTTCACAATGTAAATTAACTGCATAACTGTAGAATCACAAGGACGAAAACCAGACTGAAAGCGATAAAAAAATCCACAGTTTCCGAGAAAATTATATAATCTCATAAACACAATTTTCTCGCAAATTTTGGATAAATTGACTAATAAAGATATAGGGCGATAATTACTCCTTACTTGTCTGTTGTCTTTTTTAAATAGTGGAATCACATTGCTTTTATCTGGTTTTGTCCATCCTAATCCAGGACCTCGCCAATCATGTTTGTCCATAGCTCATCTCAATACAAGAAGTCTAAACATATGTGATAAGATAAGCGAAATTTCTGTGCTTGCTTTCCAGCACAAATTCGACTTGTTTGCTTTTTCAGAGACATGGCTAAATCCAAATGTCCCTAATGACTCAATTTTGATTTCTGGTTACAATGCTCCTCTGAAGAAAGACCGTTTGACTTCTCGTGGGGGAGGCGTTGCACTGTACGTTGGTGAACATTTACAAGCAATCAGGCGTCTGGACTACGAGTTTAATGCTAATGAATTATTGTGGGCTGAAATCAAAGTCAGTTGTCTTAAATTACTTTGCGGTGTCTGTTATAGACCACCCAACCAATGTGCAGAGGCTATTGATGATTTTTTTACGTGTTTTCAAGAAAGTCTTGATTTAATTTTTTCTACAGCTGAATTTTCAGCTGTGTTTATTCTAGCCAATTTTAATGCTCACGTCAATTTTAATTAGACGTCGACACCTAACACGGATACAGGTTTAAACATGTACAATTTTATTGAATGTAACAGTCTTTCTCAATTAATCAATGAGCCATGCCAACTCGAATAACATCTCAAGGGGAAACTATCCTGGACCTTATTATCACCGATTCTCCTTTTTATTTCTTCTGGTACATTAAGTCCACCAGCTAACTGTGATCACAATGTTATTTTTTCAACTTTCAATATTGCTGTCCATAAACCAAATGCCTTTAAGCGTACTGTTCGTAATTTCAATAATGTTAATATTAATGGCCCAAACGCTGCACTTCGAAATGCCAACTGGGACTCCATCTACTCGTCTAATGAGTCAATCAACTGTGTTTATAATAGATGGTTTAATTTATTCAGCCCAATTGTTGATATGTATATTCCAATAAAACAAGTAACAATTCGTCCAAAGGATAAGCCATGGATGAATGGATGTATTCGCAGAGGTATTCGCGAACGCAACCGTCTTTTGTCAAAATATTTAAGACGTAAAACTCCACAAGCCTGGAGCCTTCTAAAGCTTGCGGTTTGGATAATATCAGCAATCGAATTATCAAACTTTGCGCTATTTGTATTCACAAACCTTTTACTCGTTTATTAAATACCTCGTTTCGCCTTCGCAATTTCCAAGCGTTTGGATATTGGCCAAGGCGAAACGAGGTATTTAATAAACGAGTAAAAGGTTTGTGAATACCAACAGCGCAAAGTTTGATAATTCGATTGCTGATATTATCCAAAACGCAAGCTTTAGAAATTTCAAAATTACTTCACAAATTTAGAACTTCGAGTTCATCAGTTTCTACCACAGAAAGTGAGTGAGTTGATAACGAAACCAAAGGGATGGGACTGTTTGTGTCAATAGGAATTTGAGTTTGGGCAGTGAAATATTCATTTAAAGAATCTGCTTTTTGTTTAGTATCAGAGATTATATCGCCATTAACTAGCAAGTCTGGCATAGGGGAATAATATTTGTTGCAAAAATGTGATTTGGAAATGCCCCACCATTCTGTAGAACATGTCCTAGGATTACTTAAGTCTATGTTTAATTTAACGTAATAATCCTTTTTTTCCTTTCTGATAAAGCCGACAACCATGTTACGTTGAATTCTATAATTCTCCCAGGCTTGTGGAATTTTACGTCTTAAATATTTTGACAAAAGACGGTTGCGTTTGCGAATACCTCTGCGAATACATCCATTCATCCATGGCTTATCCTTGGACGAATTGTTACTTGTTTTATTGGAATATACATATCAACAATTGGGCTGAATAAATTAAACTATTTATTATAAACACAGTCGATTGACTCATTAGAGTAGATGGAGTCCCAGTTGGCATTTCGAAGTGCAGCGTTTGGGCCATTAATATTAACATTATTGAAATTACGAACAGTACGCTTAAAGGCATTTGGTTTATGGACAGCAATATTGAAAGTTGCAAAAATAACATTGTGATCACAGTTAGCTGGTGGACTTAATGTACCAGAAGAAATAAAAAGGAGAATCGGTGATAATAAGGTCCAGGATAGTTTCGCCTTGGGATGTTATTCGAGTTGGAATGGCGCATTGATTAATTGAGAAAGACTGTTACATTCAATAAAATTGTACATGTTTAAACCTGTATCCGTGTTAGGTGTCGACGTCTCATTAAAATTGGCGTGAGCATTAAAATCGCCTAGAATAAACACAGCTGAAAATTCAGCTGTAGAAAAAATTAAATCAAGACTTTCTTGAAAACACGTAAAAAATCTCTGCACATTGGTTTGGTGGTCTATAACAGACACCGCAAAGTAATTTAAGACAACCGACTTTGATTTCAGCCCACAATAATTCATTAGCATTAAACTCGTAGTCCAGACGCCTGATTGCTTGTAAATGTTCTCCAACGTACTGTGCAACGCCTCCCCCACGAGAAGTCAAACAGTCTTTCCTCAGAGGAGCATTGTAACCAGAAATCAAAATTGAGTCACTAGGGACATTTGGATTTAGCCATGTCTCTGAAAAAGCAAACAAGTCGAATTTGTGCTGGAAAGCAAGCACAGGAATTTCGCTTATCTTATCACATATGTTTAGACTTCTTGCATTGAGATGAGCTATGGACAAACATGATTGGCGAGGTCCTGGATTAGGATGGACAAAACCAGATAAAAGCAATAAAATAGATAAACTTAATACTAGATTGTAATACCAAAAGATGCAACACGGCAGTAAACTTGAATGCATGATAAAAAGACAAGCCTCGATAAAAGAGTTGTTAAACGTGCCGTTAGCTGCTCGATAAATAATTAAATTAACCCCCATTACATGTTTTAATAGGGTTATTCGCTATCCGCTGCACGTGAATTATTTGGTTAACACAAAGCTGCCAATTGGCCCAAGTATATAACATAAAATAAACACACAACAAAATACGATTAACACACAGAACAAAGAAAATAGTATTCCAACTCATCGTTTTGTTTTTGTCATCCGCTGCTGGGGGAGTTTTATGTAGTTTAAACGTAGCCAGGTCTTCTTTCTTGTAAATTCGGCAAGGCTTGTCGTGACCTGGTGCACGCGCCATAATCACACCGTCGATGGTATAAACAGCGACGTCTTTGAGTGAATTTGTTTTAACATATTTCAGAAGCTCATAGTTTTCCCGGGTAAGATCTTCCTTGATAGAGACATTCCTGCGTAAATGTTTTCTTGCTTTCATGAACTTCAGTTTGCTTTGATGACCAGTCAATTTAACAATCATAGGCCGAGGATGAACTGGGTTGCTACAAGAATGAGTCACGTTACGAGCACGACCCACCCTATGAACACGATCAAGTTCGTTTCTTTTAACGTCCAAATTTAGTTCGTCACACAATCGTAGCACGACATCGTAGCAGTTTTCATTATTTTCTTCCCCAAGTCCAAAAATCCTTATGTTGTTACGCCTTGAATATTGTTCGTTGTCGTTGGCTTTAGCTTTGACTTCAGACAGTTCCCTTCGCAGAGATAAAGCGGTGTTAATGTTTCTTGTAGAACAGAGTTTAGGGCTTCCACGAGTACTTTTTTAAAGATCTCCGAGCTTTGAATATAGCTGTCCATTTGAGTAATAAATTCTACTGAAGCAGGACTATCAGCGGTCGCCATATTGCGAGTTGTCGTAGGCATAGTTCGTGTATGTAAAAAGACCTCTTTACTCAAGCTTAAATAATTGTTAGCACCGTTTAGTCTTTAATTCGTCAGACCAATAGATAATAAATACCCCCTTTACGCAAGATCAATTTGTTATGGAAACATGAATAGGTTAGCAAACTATAATATTTCCAAGAGCTAACAAGATCACGTCCGTCGTGGTACGTAAGCGAACTTGCATAACGCGTGTACTAGTGCAGAAGTGAATAAATATTAACGAATTTAACGTAAATGATTAGTTAACGTGATAACACGCGGGAGAACGAGCATGGCGACAAGATCATGTTTTTCGGAATTCCTTCAAATTTTTTCTCAGTTTTCGCCGACGAATCTATTAATTTTCCCCGACAGGGGGTGTAGCCCCCAGTGCTCCCCCCCCCTTGGCGCCACCACTGGCAATATTGGCCTGTCTGACCACCTGTCTATTCTTGCTACTCCTGTTGTTCAAGCTAAACAACCCAATAATATTATTAAGAAAACTGTACGTAAAACAAAACCGTCGAGCATAACGTCACTTGGGAAATTCGTCCAGTCATTGGAATGGAGTCACCTTTACCGCTCACTTTCTTGCCAAGATAGATGCGACCTTTTCTATAACCTACTTTTTTAGGACTAGATACCTTCCTGCCAAAGAAAAAATATTAAAGTCCATTGCAGAGATAAACTACGGATCACTGCGGATTTAAAATAAAGGAATAGCGAATGGTTTTCCGTGCAGGATTGCGTGATCCATGCACACGGGATGTTGCGAGACTTTCGAAAAGCATCAAAATACACGAACCGTAGGTGAGTGTATTTTTACGCTTTCCGAAAGTCGAGCAACATCCCAAGTGCATGGATCGTGCTATCTGTTATGGGTTACCTATGTCATTCGGATGCGCGCGCATCAACCATGTGTTTGGGATGAGTGCTTCTTGTTCAGTTATACACGAAATATAATATAGCTATTTAATAGAAAGCAAATACACAACATTTTGGCGACGAAGACGGGATTAAGAAATATTACCACGTTAGAAAAAGCAAGATATTGTAGCAGCTATTGCCATCCTGTGGAAAGATGGCAGATGAAGCACCAGAACCGATTCGAAACATCGGTAAAGTTCGAAAGTTTGTTGTTGGCACTGACTTCGAAGCGTATGCCGAACAACTGGAATTCTTTTTCGTAGCAAATAGCGTGACTGATGCTAAACAAAAGAAAGCTGTCCTGTTGACGAATATGCCTGCAGAAACCTACCAGTTAACAAAGGATTTATTTGCTCCACATCTACTAAAAGAGGGCACGATCACGTACGAAGCGATAGTCGAGCGACTTCAGAAACAGTTAAAGCCACAGAAATCAGCATTAGTAGCCAGATACGAGTTTGATAATCGAGCGAGAAACGCGGGAGAGACGGCGAGTGAATACGTAGCTGTTTTAAAACATTTAGCTACAGAATGTAAGTTCAACGAAACGATGCGTTTAGAGCGACTTAGAGATCGGTTAGTATCTGGTATTCGTGACAGAAAAATGATGTCAGAACTCTTAAAACTTAAGCTCGAAGAACTGACCTTTGACACAGCCGTTGCTAAATGCATCGCTACTGAACAATCATGTAAGGACGTTGAAACTATGCAAGGGGGGAGAAATTCAAACCATACGAATAAGGAATCAGATTCAGTAAATTTGTTAAATAAACCTGAAGAGCAAAACAGGAATACGAAAGCCAAGAAAGGAAGGGACGCCTCTCCTTCCCCTGCAGGCCCCAAGTGTTACCGTTGTCATGGTGATCATCAGCATAAATCCTGCCCCTTTAAAAATGCAATTTGCCATTATTGTAAGAAGAGCGGTCATATTCGGAGGGCTTATAGAAAACGAAGCAAAGAAACACATAGTTTCAAACCCCCAGTAAATCACATTGATGATGATGATGATAGTGACAGCGATGATTACCTGGCTAGTTTAGAAATAAATAAAGTGGGAAACAAAGATAACGTAATATGGGTAACCCCCAAAGTTGAAGGAACACCCTTAAGAATGGAGCTAGACACAGGCTCTGCAGTTTCAGTTATCCCGTATCAGTTATACCGAGCTAAGTTTAGTCACATAAAGTTACAGAGAAGTCAAATCACACTTAAAACTTACACAGGGGAAAAGCTGTATCCAAAAGGGAAAATCAACTGTAGAGTTAGTCTCGATGGCCAGACAAGACAGCTAGATATTCAAGTTATTGAGTCCCCGGGACCAGCGTTATTTGGGTGTGATTGGCTTTCTGTAATCAATCTAGACTGGGGCGAGATCAAAGCCCTTAAAGTAAACCAAGAAACAGACAATGAGACACAGGGTAAGGTAAATAACCTTTTGAAAAAGTATAAAAGTGTGTTCGATGATGATTTGGGTACCTTGAAGGGACACCAAGCTGACCTCAAATTAAAAGAGAACTGTCGACCCCGATACTGTAAGGCACGACAGGTGCCATATGCCTTGCGACCTAAGGTAGAAGCCGAGCTAACACGTATTGAAAAGGAAGGGATTCTAAACAAGGTGGAACATAGTGAGTGGGCAACCCCTATTGTACCTGTGGTCAAACGAAATGGCTCAGTACGAATATGTGGGGATTTCAAAGTCTCTGTTAACCCAGTTTTAATCGCAGAACAATACCCTTTGCCCCGTATCGAGGATATTTTTGCCAATCTGGCTGGGGGTAAGCATTTTACCAAATTAGACTTACGCCAAGCCTATCACCAAATGGAGGTCACTGAAGAGACACGAAAGTATTTGACTATTAACACACATAAGGGTCTATTTCAGTATCAGCGGTTAGTTTTCGGTGTGACGTCAAGCCCAGCAATTGGCAACGTGCCATGGACCAGGTGTTACAGGGTATACCTGGAACACAATGCATCCTTGACGACATGATAATTACCGGAAAGTCCAATGAAGAGCACTTAGAACGGTTAG